TGATGATCATATAACAAATATGAAAGCAAATAGAAGCGTGCAGACAATCACCCTGATATTTCTGTGTGTACTTTGTGTCCTTCTCTTTCACCTGTCTTCTAAAGTGAAATTCTTCAGACTGAAGACTGTCTCATGTATCTGCACACTCTTACCATGACACAAAGCATGACAGAGCCCGGAGAGACACTGTATTTTCAGCTGACAGTCCTCAGGAGTTCTTGGTATCATCCTGCCACTATGTCTTGGTTAAAGAGGCTGCAGGACTGTGGCAGAATGGTTCTTCAGCTCCCCACGGCCACCCATTTGCACGGTGCTGACCATCACTGAGAAGGGCATCTCCTAATCCCAAGTACTGACCATCGCGTATCACAGCGACAAGAGCTTCAGCAACAAGTGAGATATAAACTAAACACCGATTTAACAGACACGCTTACAGCAAGGACCTTAGAATAAACTGCTGCAAATACTGAAATTAATTCTTAATAATCTGAGAAAAAAAAAAATAAACTTAAAAAAATTGCAAGCAGTACTAACTACTTAGGTAATACAATGAGAAGTTGGGGTGGATTTATTCAGAAGTCACAAATAATGAAATACAAATTGAATAAAGACATTTACAGAGAAGGAGATTTGCAGGCAGCACGCAGCTGGCAAGACAGAATTCTATTGTCATGAATAAGCTGGAAGTGGGAAAGAGAGAAGGAAACAAAGATAGTCAAGGACAGCAAGATTTAGGGAGAAATGGCACAAAGAAATCTGTTCATAAAGAGAAAGAACAGAAAAAATTGAATTAAAAAATAAAGTCATCAGCACGAAGGAAAGAGGAACAAGGAGGATGTGTGAAAAGAATCCAGCTCTCTAGAAGGGCAATTTTTAGTTACCAATGGCAGTACCACCTTCCAGAAAAGCTGCTGCTTGCACGTCTAAAGGCAAGCAGCTTTAAGGGAAGTCCAAAAACCCTCAGGCGTAAGAGTCAAAACTGTCTGACTTGGGGAGCTGAGAGAAGAGACATAACATTTCATATCCATTTTCCGTCTGCAACCCAAATCTGGCACAGATGGCTCGCAAATGATTGTCGCTGCCAGAAATCTGCAAGCGATTGTCACCACCAGAAACCCATTGGCCTGGTAGGAGATGAGTTTTGCTCTCGGCCTGGATGTTGATAGCGCAAAGGTGGCCGGAGGTCAGAACCCTGCGAGGCAGCTGGGCACTCAGTGTCCGTCTCCCAGCCCAAAGCGTTCCCTGCTCGAGGCAGAGCGGTCCCTTCAGCCTCACCCCCCGACTCCGATCCCCCTCCGGCCCTCTGCAAAGCACAGGGCGCCTCGGCTGCACTCCCAGCTCAGTTGCTGATCTCCCTTGAGCTGTGCCCCATTTCCTCGCAAGCCAATTCCCTATAACTTCCATTGGTCTTTATTTCCCTGGCAAAACTGAAGTGATATTTTATTTCCCTCCCCCTGCTCCCTGCCTGGCTGATGTAGGCTATCGGCATCGGGGCAGCAGCTGCCTCTGAAGATGTGCTTGTACAGCTCCTGCCACTGATGCTGGGCACAACAGGGCTTTGATCTCAGCTGCAGCCTCCACGTGCTGTATCAGTAACACCTATACACGAGCACAGACCCCCGCTAAGAGAGCTCTAACTTCAATGCATTAACAGCCCATGACCAGGCTAATTTTCTACATAGCAATAACCTGAGACAAGACAGCCTAATTCAGAGCAGAGCAGACACATGTTCTTTGTACCTTTCCCTTCTGAAAAAGCAAATCTCTTATAAATTATCAATGCCGTTCCCCACAGGAGGCAGCTGAGAGCAAGCTCGCCTGCGCGGTGATGCGCTCACCATCACCAACTGCACCTTGCAGAGGGGGCGAGCACTTTACCTGTGCCGCTGCCCCTAGGATAGATGATATACCAGCATTTCCAAAAGCCCGGAGAAACAAGCGTGGGACACCCTTCATCTTCATGCGCGTTCCCGTTCCAGAACTTGTTTACGCATCACGCTTTCAGAAATCTTCTTAGCTGCTCTAATTGCTATGATTCAGGAATTTACAACACAGCTCTGCTCCCAACACAATTTTCATCCCACTGCAGTCCTTCACCTTGCAAATAAATACGCAGTGACTCTTTAGAGCTGCAATTTCTCAGCACAACCTTAAAACTTCAGAGCAAATTCATAAAAGCTAGGAAAATTGAGCCTCCTAAAAAATGTCCTGCATAAAATAACGAATATTATTCCCATCACCCTGTATATATCAAGAGGCACGATGCCACTGCGTAAGCACGCTGTGGATCGCTTTATCTGCGCCTTCCACTCAACGTGTACCCGGGGTATAGCCCGTGGGGTCCTGCCGGCCACAGCAGCTCCATCCCTACAAATCCTCCCAGAAGCAGCCATCTGTGCAGCGGTCCCGGGGGGCTGGCGGCAAAGTTACTCCTATGAGTACTGATTTCAGCTGAAAGTCTCTCTATATTTCTCATTAAACAGGTTGGATAGTTCTATGAAGGCTGCTTTAAAAGGTATAGTATGCAAACTTATTGCTAAAGAAGTAAGAATGTAACAATAATAGGCACTAGGACCTTACTCCAAGCACATTGATGCTTTTATCTCAGGCAGCAGCTTAGCAACAGTTTCTTTTCACTGCAGTTAAGTAGTATGGGGAATGTCCTTACTTCTCTGAGGCACAACAGCGTAAAATAAAAACGTGTATCTTGATTTCAGGGATTCCCTGCATTAAAAATGAGCTCAGGAAAACAATGTGAAACTGGAACATATTTCTAAACTGAAAAACATTAACTTCTCTGAATCGGTAATGATTCCATCCATTTTTGCTTTGTATTTTCTACTGGAAACTGCCAAAGGATCCCCAAGCAAAATACCCCTGTGCTTGAGAATGTGAATCCTAACGAAGTTCTCCCTTACTCCCAATGGCCATCCAGAGTCACCTTTTTGGAAGGGAGAAGGAGGGAGGAGTACATGAGCTGCAAATGATTTTTTACTTAAGTCTAAACTATTTTGATTCTTTGTAATAAATGACAGAGATATTATTAAAATGGGTTCAGTTTTGTGTTTGTTTCTTTAAAGAAAACTGTAGGCAAGTATACCTGAGTATAGTAGTCATATAAGTAAGGACTTAACCATATGCTTGAATTTCTATCTATGAAATACGTTTTTTTGAAGATGAATGCAACGTATTTACATTAAAAATCACTTCCCAATTATATTTCATAACATTAGCAAACTTGAATCTCCTCATCCTATGACTATTAGTGTTTCAAAAACACAATATGGAAGAGAAGAAGAAGAAAAGGCATTTAGGGCAAAATGCTGAAAACCACAAACAATATGAACCTTTCATACACCTTAGTATGAAAATACTTGCACTGACACTGAAAGAATTGTTTCGTGTTTTTTTGTTAACTCACCCAAAACGTTCTCAGCATCTTAAGAGCAGAAGCGTAATCTGCTGTGTGAGTTTTGGACGTGCAGAGTGCTTAAAGAGTTGTGCAAGGCACCCAGAACTGACTCCCTCTGGATCATGCCACTGTAAGGAAAACTGTGACATTTTGCTAAAGGAAAAAACACTTCTCTGAGTTAATTCAGGTACATAGCTGTGCATACACTCAAGGAGGAACAACGTGGGTTTAGGAGTCATGCTACTACTCTGAAGTCTGCGCCAATGTTGAAACAGCTTTGCCCAGCTCAGAGAATGGCTCGCAGCATCTCCTAGCACGGTGTGCAGCAGCACTGCTGGCTGTCACATGCCGTCCAGGCCATAAAGAGGGCAAGGAACAGGCCCCTGAGCTCTGAGAGCCTGCAGCTGTGGGACTCGCTCCAGCAAACAGGAATGTGAAGCAACAGGGCAGGTAGGGACGGGGCTGTGTGCTCCCAGAGAGAAGATGAGGTATTCCGAGCGGCGTCCACCTGGCTGCTCCCTCACTTCGCACGTTGCACTTCCACAAAAGGCGGCTTTGACCTAACTTATGAATAAAACGTTTTAGGACATAAGGGCAGTTACACGCACATTTGGAGACTGCTGTTTCCCAGATAGGCACGTTTAGGGGCTGCGTGTTCAGCAAGATGTGCAAAGACCAAGCTCTGGCTCTGGAATGAGCTCTCTGGAGATGACAAAATCAGTCACCTCCCTTGAGAGAGCTCAAACCCAGAGCCGTCAGAGCAGAAGCACGGTGTGGTTTGGGGGGCACTGCTGGCTGTAAGCACACGGTTAACATTTATGAAGAACACCGTGCTGGAAACGGCACTATTGGCACACCAGCGTTTCCCTGAGGCTCCAGGGTTTTGCCTCTGCGTGCTTCCCTCAACTACGCCGAGTAAAACAAGAGGAAAAGCGGCTTCCTCTCCTTCCTCCACGCAAACTTTTGGCACGGGCCTGGCGCTGTGTGTGTGGCGTTCTCTCTCCCCGTGCCGCGCTGACGCACGGGGCCGGCGGGCAGCGGCCGCGGTCGCTCCTGGCAACGGCGGCGCCAATGGCAGCCGGGCGCTGCCGGGCGCTGCCATGGCGATCCCGCGGCTCGCCATGGCGGCGGCGGGCCCCGTCCCGTCCCGTCCCGTCCCTCACCTGTAAGGGATCCAGTCCGCCTGGTGCCTCGAACTCATCTCTCCACGGCGGCGGTGCCCGGAGCCGGGGGGTGAAGGAGAGGGAGAGGGAGAGGGAGGAGGGGAGGGGACGCGGCGGCTGCTGCTGCCCGAGTCGGATCCCGCCGCCGCGCCGCGGGCAGCATCCTCCGTCCGGGGCGCCGGTTATCCCGGCAGCGGCCGCCGATACCTCCCCCCGGGGAGGGCTGCCGGCAGCAGCAGCACCACCAGCAGCAGCAGCGGCGGCGGCGGCGGCGGGCCGGGCTGCATGGGGAGCGGCAGCGGGGCGGGGGGCGAAGGAGGGGGCGGAGGGCGGGCCGGCGGCGGGCAGGGAGAAGGGAGAGGGAGAGGGAGAGGGAGAGGCAGCGCCGCGGCCCCGCTGCCCGCCCGCCCCCCGCTGCCGCCGCCGCGCTGAGGCAGCGCCCGGGCAGGGCGGGGAGCGGGGCCGCCCCCCGCGCCGGGACCGCCCCTGCCCCGGCAGCCGCAACGCCTCTGGGCACGGGAACGGCCCGAGCCCTGAGGCGGCCCTCACGGGGGGGCCTCAGCAGCAGCCCGAAATGCCAGCGATTCCACCCAAAATGGCTGAGGCGGCTCGGGCTGGGAGGGGAAGGAGCCGAGCTGCCCCCAGGCACCGCATGGGCCGGCCAAGGGCGGCTCTGCTCCAGCCCTGCAGGCGCAGCAGCAGCATGAAGGGGCTGTTGGAACTGCAAGCCCTGCCATGGAGACCGCGTCTCCGCCAGCTGCTGTCGGTTTCTGGCTCTCCGCTTGTTTGCTCACCCAGTGGATAAACCAGAAGGGTGCCTGCGTGCTTCACTCGCATGCAGTGTCGAAAAGCTGTTTCCTATAAAGGCAGAACCCTGAATAGAAACAGAATCACAGAAGCATCTAGGTTGGAAGAGACCTCAAGATCATCGAGTCCAACCTCTGACCTAACGCTAACAGTCCCCACTAAACCATATCCCTAAGCTCTACATCTAAACGTCCATCAGGAAGTTCAGTGTGGCACCCGCTGCAGCCTGGAAGGAGGTAGAATATATAGAGAGAAAAGAGAAAGGAGCACCTAAGTGAGGGAGACACGAAGCTCTGACTTGCTAAGCCAGCCCCAAATCCCAGTGTTGGTCCTCTACAAGGTGGTGTGAACTCATGCAGAAGGATGCAGGTTATCCCGCCTCGAGGTACTGCAGAATTGGAAGGATGGATCATTAAGAGTGTGGAAAGGTGCACGTCTGAGCAGAGAGTGGGAAAAAACTTCACCTAAGAAAACAGAGACAAGGAGTTTAAAAGTAAGTGTCTAGAAAAAATTGAGAAGAACAGCAATTGTGGGTCTCCTGTTTTCATATTATAAAAAAAACAAGGAGGCACTTAATGACATTATAATTTAGAAAATTAAACACAGATTGAAAGAGATACTTTTTCAACCAATGTAATTGTATGGTAGTTCACTACCAAAGAACATGTCTAGTAGGGCCAGGAAACCAGCAAGAGCCAACAAAGCATGCTTAGCAGATACCAGAAATGTTACTGCATCATTCACTCTCCAGAGCTTTTGAAAAGCTGTTTTATTTAAAGCCAAGACCCTGAATTTAAACATCTTCCAGAAGCCAAAATGAGATCTGCCATTAAGGAAGAGTTCTCCCAAATCCGCGTGGATAAGGTAACTTGCTATTGCTTGACCAGCATCAAACACCAGATGTGGCAGACCCCAGTTCCCACTGGGCACAATCTGGAACCATAAAACAACATGCCTCACCAGCCTCAACACCTGTGGTACAAACATGAGGAGGCAGCTGCAGGACAGAGTTGCCTATCTCCTGCTACCATGCTGCCGAGGCTTCTGTAGAAAAGAAGAAATAAGAGTCAAAAGCTCTCAAGACTGGCAATTAGAATATCCATTTTCAAAAAGCCCTAAGTGTAAAGTCTGATAGATGAGCTAGTGCACACAGAGGGATCAAGAAGATCCCTCTGAACCTTTGAGCCATATGAATCGTGGAAGAGCTTGCTGTCATTTAAACAGCCCAAGACCATGTTTGTATTAAATACAAAACATACAGGGTTTCTAGATATTCAAAAAATGGAAGACCATCAGGGTGTCCTGGAAGATGGGAGTACACAGCAATTAGCTTCCATCTAGGGAAAGCTGACACAGGGAAGAAGACATATCAGGAAAAGTGTGTGGGGAGAAGCAGAAAGAGAAACAGTTTTCTTTGCCATTTTATCTCCTTCTGTAGTGTTTACTTACCTTCCCAACCCTCCTTTTAATCCTCCCCCACACTAATTCTCCCTCAGCCAATTTACGTCCCAGGTCACTTGCTTCAGTACTGCCTCACTCCTTCTTACCAGCAATACTCTGTCCCTGTTTCTGAATTGTGTGAGCTGAACAGAAAGCCCACCACAGCTAGTGGCATCAGGGCAGGGTTTCTGCCTAAAGTGTACATTTTGCTGTACACTTGTACTTCTCAAAAGCCATACTTAGTTTCAGACACCAGCACGGTGGGCAATGTAGTCTCTTAGAAAGTGCTCTAAAGGTTAAATGTATATATATAAATCACAGAAAGCAACAATGTAGATGCAAACCTATCTCCTCCATTGACAAATGTATCTCATCATCTTCCCCTATGTTGTGCTACCTTGCCATTTATTCCTGGTTTGTTCTCTATGTAAAATAAGTGCTCTCCTAATACGCTTTTGATTGAAATGATAATACAACTCCATAGAACAGTTGAAAACACCTGCATTTGCAACTGAAAGTCTTCTGGCAACCTGGGCAGAGAGCATGACATCAAAGCAGGAGGACTCTTTTGAAAGGGGTGGGCAGAACCTAAGCAAGCTCTAAAATAAGAGCCGGTTATAAGCCCTTTCCTAACAGTACAGAAAAAGGAAAAGTGGCATAAAGAACCCCATGGCTGTCATTTGTGGACCCATCCTGGTTCTATACTGTGGTGTAACACATCCAAATTCACACTTCCTAAGTCATTCATAAGACAGCCACAAGATTGATTTGATCTTTCCTTTTTAGGTCTTTTAGAAGGACAAAGCTGACAGTTTGTCATTTCTGGGTTAGCTCAAGCATAGCACAGAAAACACTTCTGTTCAGAATTCTAAATCATACGATATCACAAACAGGACAGATTTCACATAATTGTGTAAACCTTCTGGGTTTTCCTTTATCAGCTTGGATATTTCTAACTTTAAGCTCCAAATGACAAGGATCAGTGATGTGTTTGTGCTGGCATAACTTCAGAAGTGGTTGTGTGTAGATTTTTCCATTCCTATATATCTAAAAATTAAGCCATCATATTTGAAGCAAAACCGTGCCAAGTAAAACTTATCTGCATTCATTACAAAATTAGAGCTCCTAGCAAGGTTCATGAACTTTCCTGCAGTAAGCTCAGGTCAGGTGCGAATGTATCTAGGATATTTTGTTTGTTTTAAAAGTCGAGCTGCACCTATCCAGGGCCAGATGCAAAATGCAAGGTTTAGTATAATGAAGCAAAATTCAGCAGGTTCAGCGGATTTCTTCCCAAGCAGTGAGTTTTGGAATGTGTTTAAACAAGTTCAGCATAAACTCCAGGGAGAAGATTAAGAGTGTTAAAATTTTCTCAAATCAAAACAAAGAAAAAGCTCACGAAGTGAATAAAATCCAAGTGTTGAATGGCAATTTTATGCTCCTTGTTGTGGACTTTGGATGAGGCTTACGCCAAGTTCACATTTCTTGTGACTTTGGACAGAAAAAAAATTCAAGTTATATCTTCTTGTTTCTTGAGTAAAACAAAAATGCTTTATTTTTTATATCCCAATTTCAACCATAGCAAGAAAATTATGTCGTAAAGGCGAGCAATTTGGAGATAAAACTCTGCAAAGGAGACAAATTTTTGTATAAAAGGTTTATTGCAGCCTTAACGTGGTTGATCTTCTCTCTCAGCTCACTTTTCCTTACTGTATTTCATCTATTCTCATCCCAGTAAGTACATTTGTGTTTCTTTATTGTGAGGCTGTGAAGCATAAATACCAATTGGTAAGACACTGAAATAAAATCTGTTCTGCAGTATCAGAGTAGGGTTCCCTAGCTTCCCAAACAGTATGTTTTCACTTCGGTCTCTTCAGTTTGAACCTGTCTAGCTCCACTGAGATCCTGTCTAATGAGAGTTTTGTGGTGATTAATATCAAGGCCAGGTTGGTTGGTGCTTTGGGCAACCTGCTCTAGTGGAAGGTGTCTGTGTCCATGGCAGGGGGTCGGAACTGGATGGTCTTTAAGGTCTTTTCCAAACCAAACCATTCTATGATTAAACCAATGCTTACATCCACCTCTTCCTATAAAGAAAATAAGTATTAAGAAATGTTAACTTCTGAGGAGTGAAGTGTTTGCTGCTGGGGACCTGCTTTCAACACCTGCTAAGGAAATCTTTAATTCTAGTCTCATAGCAGATCTTGAAACAACAGCCAGCATCTCTCTCAAAATCTTGCACTGGAAATATATCCAATGCTCTGATTCTCCACTGTAAATAATGAGCCCTGGTACTAAGGTGAAAAAAAAGTCTCCTGCACAGAGACAGACTAACATGTGTGATTGTTGGACAAGCATCATTGATGCTTGAGGAAGAAACGAGCGTCATCATAATTTGAGCTCCTGTTGTCTTTGGAATTGCTGTCCCATTGGGCACTCATCCAAATCCAGTGGGACCACTAGAAGTGGATTCTGCTGTATGCTCCCTTCAGCCTCCCCCTTTTTACTGCCCTCTAACGTTATTCCGATATGCAGATACCAAAAAGGATTGTGTAGAATGAATTTTCCTATGATAGTGCTTAAATACAAAATTGGATAATCCCATTTCAGCATATCTCCCATAGGCTTTTGCTTTTAAAGTCCACACCCTTTGAAGGTTATTATTAAACCAAAATTTGCACAGTAATTCTGCTCTCTCCTCTTGCACTGATGGTTTTTGAACTTTTCTGAACCATTCACACTGTTTGTGTGTCAGTCAAAGCAGCTAGAGATACCAAGTCAAAAAGACGTTGTCAGAAGAGATTCTTAGCAGCTGTAAGACAGGCCTGTATTCATAACAAACTAAAATCAGTTTGCTGTCCAGCAAAATGATAAGTCACTTTTTGCCTGTTTTCCCCTTGTCAAAATCAGTGGTGGTTTTCAGGTCCAGCTTATTGTTGTTTGTTTTTTTCTCCTCCGCAGAGTCTCAAAACGGTTGGTGATGGAAGACACCTTTGGAGATCATCTTGCCCAGCCCCTCTGCCTAGAGCTGTGCCAGCTACAGCAGGTTTCTCAAGGCCATGGTCAGGTAAGTGTTGATTATCTCCAAGAATGGAGACTCTCCAACATTTCTGAGCAACTTGGGCCACTGTTTAACTGTCCTCATAATGAAGAGGTGTTGTCTTATGTCTGAATGGAATTTCCTGTATATCAATGTGTCATTTACTTGTGTTGTTTCCTCTGAGCTAAGTCACATTATTTTGCATTCAACCAACAAGAGGGGAACGACTGTAGCTCCCTTTGTCATCATGACAAATCCAAAGGACCTTGAGGTGTCCTTGCAGTACAAAAACAGGCTCTGTTAACTCAGACTGGGAGAACCATCCTGAAATTCTTGTAAGCTGTTAGCAAATGGTAACATGTCTTAGCCTGCTGAAAAGATAAAACCCAAACTGTTTCTTTGCATCAGATAGTCTTTCCTTTGCAGCATGGTGAGTAGGCAACTGTACTTAATACTGCAAAGCCTCAGGATTAATCTGAAGCTAAGTACATCCTTCATAGCTGTTCCGTAAAACTGTCTACCCCAGCTGAGCATACAGTTTTCAATGTACATGCTTAGCTTTTGGGGAACTAAACAACAACAAAAACGGTTTTAAAAATCCTGCCTAATCTCAGAAATAATTGCAACCCACAGACGTTTCAAACTGAGACATGACTTATGTGCCTTTAAAAGCTGTTAGCTTCACCTGACAATGAGCCAGAAAATTAAAATGCTCCCAGCAGAACTTGTGAGTAGAACCAGAAACACTTTGCCATAGGTGTTCATTTGGATCATGATAATGACCTCCTTTTATACTCTCTAGATTTCTTCTTCCATCTAACATGTATACTGAAAGAAGTCAGTTTATTTAGGAAAAAAATGAGCCATGGGCTCTGAAAAAAAAGTTAACGTTCCATTACACTGTAACACAGAATTGCAATCAAATTAAAATGAGGTTGAATTCACTGTACAAGCAAAAATATTTGAATGATTTTGTCTGGAGCCAGAGCAGCTAGAAAAGTGGGAGACTAGCTTTGCAATAATTGAGCATTTTGATAATTAGAAAACATGCTAATGTTTAGAAAGCATCTTCAAGGTCTTCAGATGATGTTTAAGATCAAATAGTATTAAGTTACTCTTTTCAGTTGCTTTCTTTAAAAAGGTATTGCTAGTGAAACTTTGCACAAGGAACAAGAATAACTACTGAAATTGTTTTTCTACTCTCTTCCCAGTACAATGGGTTAAATATATTTGAGCATGCAATAGAAATACCCAGCTGTCATTCAGAATTAATGCTACTTACTAGCTTGATTTACTGCAATCATCTACACTCTTGGAAATATATAACATTATTTGTAATATGACTGCTTTACACCATCGTTATAATACAATACAATAAAATGTTGCGTTCACATTAGAGATGATAACCTGAGGCAAAAGCGAAAATGTAGTCTGCCTACAGCTATAAAGAAAGTCTCTGGGTAAGCTAGGAATTGAGTAGTCTACCTTCACCGAAACATCCATCTACTGTGCATACAAAGCATGTTCTGGGTACCGTGTGCCAAGCGCTGAGTTCTCCGTATTTCCCAATACAAGGACAGGACGAGAGTGCATCGCTTACTCAGTGTTTCTCTGAATTGCAACTGATAATTTCAAATATACAGATGCACTAAACTTGACTTATACAGCTAGATAAGAATTTCTGTTTGCAAGAATTAAAAGTATTATTTATTTCACAACACCATTTCATGTCAATAGATGACTGAAGCTAGGGCTAAATAGCTCAACAGAAGCTAAATGTGAGACACTGTTCAATAACATGGTCCAACTTAGAGGCTTTCTTATTTATTGTGTTTTAACATTCTCATAAAAATGTTTTAGTTCACTGTTTACCAGGTTCTCAGTGATCTAGCTGTCACAGAGTTTAACAGATACTGGCTGGACAGCCCCCAGCTTCCTTTGGAGGATGCTGAGGCTGTTTGTCTTTGGCAAGGAGGTAGCTCCTCACATAAGTATGTGGGGAGTGCTCCCTGCCTACACCCAGGAGTCTCCATGGGCTCATCATGCAACCCAGCACGCCTCTCTTGCAAAACTTCCCATCTTCTAACTTCCCTTTCTAGGTGGTCCTACCTGACCGTGTGTCTGCCAGCCCCTCTGAAAGGGCAACCCCAATGTTAAGGTATGAAATAGGTGAGGTCCCAGCACCTCACAAGCCAAGGGGCACCTGTATGAAGCCAGGTCCTGCTGCACAGCAGTGCTCAACCCAACATTTTTCATGCAGCAAGGAAAAAAACAATGGTGAGGTATTAACAGGTCTGTGAGAACTGTATCAGCTGCATCTGGCAGACCAAGAGCACATTTTCCTCATTAACTTCATCAGGGATTTGAGTAGACTCACCTCAACAGCAAGTACAAATGAAAGCAATTTTGTTTGTTAATTTTCTGACAAAAAAAAAGACAGGGGAACTGTTGTTTGCAAAATATCTTATCTTTCCTGGCAGCTAGACACGAAGGTACGTTTTTAAAATTTTCCTCTGGACTTAAAATGAGAAGTATTTAAGTACTAATTAATTACCAAGCAAAACATATGTCTTCAAAGAGTGCTGTAAAGAATATATAAGGGATGCATTAATATGAGGTTTCCACTTCAAAAAAATAAGTTCTTCAAAGAGAGTTTTCTCATATGATAGAAGGTAAAGCAACATTTCTCATGTAATTTTGGGGTAAGAATTAAAAGAAAATAAAAACGGAACAGTGAAAGTGAGTTTAAATCTCTATAGGAAGTATTTTTCAGAAATTAAATTGATACAAAATTCTCTGAGCCTGAACAGGTTTTTGTATAGGGAGATGACTATGAATTTGTTATTTTTATTTTTTTTTTAATTTGGCTTTGCATAAAACAAGGTGGGTTATATGTGTATGTTCTCTCTAATCTCTGAATAAGGCATCTCTCTGACTTTTGGGAATTCCTTCACACCTTATCAATGACAGTTCTGTGCTTTTCTTCTAAGCCAAATCCTGCTCCACTTTCCTTACATTGATAACACATTTCGCCCTCTATCCTTCCAGCCACGGTGAGCTGGGTTCCTGTGCCTAGGGCATTCGTGTACCAAACACAGTTATTCATCTCTAGATCAAAACACTGATCCTAAGATTGTCCTTCAATCGCCCCTTCAGAAGCAGCAAGTTGCAAAGCCAAAGCAATTGAAAGCAGAGACTCCCTGGCTTGCCCAAAATGTATTATTTATCACTAAATCAAAGGAAAGCTCTGAGTTCAACACAGTGTTCCTTCAGTGGATGTGCACAAACAGTACCTGCTAAACAAAATGTGAAACCAGACAGAAGATTTGCAATATATGATGCAAAGTAAATACTTTTGTGGAAGTTTAGTTGCAGGCCTGAGTTTAGTGAGATGTCTGGGGAAAGGAAAAATGCAAAGGGCGAGAGACAAGTCAGGATGTCAGTCTGTTATTGCCTTTCTCCACTTTGCAAAAAGCACCTTTTCTTCCTCTGGAACTGCTGAACAGTTTCCTCATTCTGACATTTGCTATTTATTGATTCTTGTCTACACCATCTTCCCATACATTAAGAAGGTGGTAATAGAACAGCTTGTTAACAAACGGTGCTATATTGTACTGCAGGAGCACAGGGATGTGTAGAGACACACTGACTCAAAGACCTAGAGAAACTCCCTTCTGTGTCTCAGCGTGTCTTCCAATTTAACTCTCAAGCAAACCCAGTTAACAATAAGACTTGGCCTTTATATAGAGGCCTCAAAGCGAAACTAAGACTTGCAGAAGAAAATGAAGTCAAGGAGGAAAAAAAAAAAAAATGCAGCCAATCTAGAAAACATTGAAAAAGTTCACTAAAGGGTAACAGGTAAACTGATGTGGAAGAAGAGCAAAAAACAAACAGAAGGGAAGAAAATATGTATTATTAACAAAAAAAAAAAAAAAAAATAAAAGGAGAGTCAGGTTCAGAAGACAGAGTTGAAGATAATAGACTAAATACAGCCAGATAAAGTACGTGCAAAAGTTACATATGTCAGCAGGCTGGAAAACAAAGCAAAACTAAAGCAACTAACAAAAATATGACAATACTGCAATGAAAAGGCTCCAGAAATATCACGTATTGTAACGGGTTATTGGAGTAAGTCGGTCAATTCAGAATGAGGTCACAATAGAAATACACAAAGGTATGCAGTACCTGAAGGGGCAGCAGCAGGTGGTTATCGATACTTTTCTTCTTGTCACCAAATTCTTACCACTTCACAGCAATCAATTTTGTTGTCAAAACATGCCAGCCATATAATAAATAAGCAACACTTGAAAGGAAATAGATGCTGCACATTTTTCTGAATGGCAGAGTTGACTTCAAATCATCTTTTAAAAACAAATCCATCTGTAGAAACAGATATTACCGTGCTAAATTGTACTGAAAATACCCAGCACCACAGAGCTCTGTTCCTGGAGGTTATGCATTTCCCTGCCATATGCCCTAGCTGTCAGGTAGTAGTTAGAGTTTTCCCCTTTACTACTCACTTTGTACACAGCCTCTCCAACGGATCTACATGCATTATGGCATTGAGATAGGGTATTGTAGGGCAGTCGGTGGCTCAGACAGGAATTTTATTCTGGAAAAAAGTAATTGTCAATAAGTAGACATTTCTAGAAATCCACTGGAATTGGACAAAGTATTTATGCATATTTATTCTATAGTCAACCTCGTAAGATCAAGGTAGAGCTGAGAGGAGGAAAACACAGTCAGACTAGCCTGCCTTAAACATTCTACCATGTTTTCCAAACGTCACTAAGTGCTGACTTTCCTTGATACAATTTTTGATTATTTGAAATTAAATCCAAATCTGCACAGTTAAAGAAAATTGTTCATTAATTCAAATATTTGCAAGAATCAGTTGATATCATTTCCTTTGAAACCAACACCTCTGACTTAACTGTAAATCAGAAAAGAATAGTGGAAAAATTTTAGGTTTTTGTATTGACATCCTGTTTAACAGGCTTCGCTAACCAGCACAGGTTTAGCGTGGC